TTTCTATAATAAAAAGTACAATATGGAAGTAAAAGGGCAAGTTTATGACCAAAATTATCTTTATGATAGATTTTGTAGAAAAGTTGAATCCAGAAGATAAAAGTTTAAATGGTAGAAATTTTCGAAGTTTTTTTTTTTGAAACTAGGACCCCAGATACTCCATGACACTGGCAGGAAATGTTTTGCCTGTGTGACATGGCTAAAACATTTCCGAGCAGTGTGACATGGTCAAAACATTTCCAAGCAGTGTGACAAGGATAAAACATTTTTCAGCAGTGTCATATAGCTAAAACATTTCCTACCAGTCTGAAACCCTTCAAACATTTCTGACCACTCTAACATGCTTCAAACATTTCTGACCACTTTCAGATGGCTAGGATATTTTTCAATACAAAATATCAACCCAAACATTTCCAGTCACAATATTGAAGGTCAAACATTTTCGCCCAATGCAATAATATATTTTCCTTCAGAGGCAAAAAAATAAACAACTGAAGGACCTATTAGCCTGGATACATTCTTACATTTTACAAGGCTAATAGCTTTGTCAAGGTGGATGACTGAAGTGAAGCTGACAAGAAGAGAGCAGGGCTACGCCATAGAATGGATGACACCACCATTGTACTTACAACTAAAATCAGGTCATTCTTTCTATTTAACCTATAATTTCTTCTCTGATAGTGTCAGCTGCATTAAACTTGTTGCACTAAGTAACATTGTATTGCACTAAGTACTACATTTAAGAGACATGAGTATTGCACACCTGAATGTGTCAAAGTAAAACAAAATTGAGAAAAGGACAGCATAGGTGTGAAACATTTCCAACATTCATCATCAGTATGATGAAATTTGTTCAGTTATGAAGTTATAGCTATGTAGACTGTATTTTGGTTACATGTCTGAGTATAGAGGTGTGGAAAAATACCCTGGGTTTGGAAACACATGAGGACTCATCAGAACTGACCTGCATTACCTCTCTTCTTATGAATTCCATATAACACCTTGGATTTGATTTTTGAAATTTTCTTGCCAATATTGGAAAAGAGGTGACCTGAAAATATGAGCATCAAAAATATGGGAAAGCAAGTAGTGGCTGAACTAAATACCTTTCGTTTCAGAATGAATGATTGTGTCATTTAGATTGGTGGTAGGTGGAAGAGTAGCTGGAGCCCCTACTGCATCAGCATCACCTTCTCCCAGAACCTCATTGCTGGCATGTGGAACTTCACTGTCCACATTCCCCTCTTCCATATCTTGGGTCACAGAAACTCCATGGCCTGTATTGTGAACCTGGTTCTCTGCATCATCCATCTTTAGTGTTCGCAGGTCCAGTCTACAGGACTGAAAATATACATAGGACTGAACTGGACTGAACCACAGTCCGGTCTTTTCCAGTTGCCAGTTGCCCACATTTGTGATCAGTCCAGTTGCCAGTTGCCATGTTTTTGTAAATATATAAAAACCGAAAAAGACCGGGTTAGACCGGTTGCAACCGGTCTTTCGTCTCATCACATATTGTACCTTACTCGTGCACATTTTACTTAATTTTCGGTCCCTGAATCATCAAAAACAGTCAAAAATTGGTTGAGATATGGCCAAAAACATTTTTATACGCAATTTGAATGTATGTTCTCTCCGTTTTCACCATATCTCAGTCAAATCTTGACCGATTCGCTTCAAATCTTGACCGATTCGCTTCAAATCTTGGCCAGCGTACGAAGAATTAAATTATCTATCTACGCATGCTATGTACGTGAGGTAACATTTAATATATCTGGCACAATAAATTTTTCAACAAAAGACCGGTCGCAACCGGTCTGGACCGGTTTTTTTTGCGTTGTGGACCGAAAAAGACCGGTCCAAAGCGGTCCGGTTGCGGTCCCTCAATATTTGGATCGGTCTAGACCGGTTGCGGTTGCCAGTTGCATCGTTTTGAGGTAAAAAACTGGACTTAACTGGACCTGCAAACACTATCCATCTTCATGGATTGACTCATGGCTTTCTGTGTTGCTGCTAAATTCTGCATGGCTATGATGGTGTGTGGGTGGTCTTGTCCATAAATCTTTCTCCTAGCATCCAGAACTTGGACCTCCAGTTGCTCTGCTTCTGTATGTTTTCCCAGGTCTCTGTATGTTAATGCAAGACTTCCCATCACTAACATTGTGTCTGGGTGTTCTTCTCCAAGAATTTTCTTCCTGGCATCCAGAACTTGGATCTGCAACTTCTCTGCTTCACTTGAATATCCTTGTTCACAGAGTAACCAGCCAAACCTTTCATAAGCATCATCAAAGTAATTGTTGTTATACTGCATATTCTTTCTGACATGTGTCACCAAAGTTCTCCTAAAGCCATATGACTGACTTTCATCATTTTTTAGAGAAGAAGATAATATAGCATATGCCAACAAAGAGCTTTTTTGCTTTTCACTGACACTCATCCTATCCCCACCCCATGCATTTACCAGTGGATGCATACTATGCACCCTACCAGATGCATCTTTCTTGATTAAACAGAATGACAGTAAGACTCGAAGCCCCTCTTTAAAGTGTAGATTATCCCAAGTACCATCCATATTGAGTGACAGCAGTTTGCGATCTAGAACAGAATGTGCCAGTGGTAAGTCAGGGTGAGACATTGCTTCATTTTCTTGAGTAGCAGCATAGGAAAAAATTTCTTCACTGACACTCTCATGATGAAAAAATGGAAACAATTTCAGTAGAAATAACGCACTGTCAGCTGCTCTGGCCTTGTGGAAATCATGAGAACTAGCCCTCTTTTGGATTTCCTCATATGATAACTCCCAAGTTCCATAGACACTTTTGTTATATTTAGATGCCCCAGTGAATTCAGAATGTGATAACAATGTCTCTCGATGATGGATATATTTATCAAGATAGTCTCCAATGTTAGAAGCTCCAGAAGCAATAAATGCACCAGCCTGATCAACAGCAAGAGGTAAACAACATAGCTCTGTCACAACCATAGAAGCTTCAGCTTTAAAATCCATACTCAAACAGCTAGCTTTCAGAAGTAGTACAATAGCATCCCTTTCTTCCAACTGTGTCACCTCAAGAGAATTCTCTTGCAAAGTCAAGCATTGCATGCTAGCATTGCGACTAGTGATCAGAATGTTTCCCCATCTACCAGGTGGAAAATATCCCTCTAGCTCAGCAGGAGATAGAACATCAGCATTATCAAAGACCATGAGATAGTTCTCTTTCAGAGAGCCAATCCAGTGCAGAGCAGATTCAGGTGACCCATTCAATACCAAAGCCTTAGCTTCAGGAAGAAGACAAATGCCCTTAAGCCCCTGTAGAATGCTGCCAGCAGAAGATGCATCAATCCAGAAAACAGTATAAAATCTGGGGGTAGCAGCCTTCAGCAACAAAGATCAGGCACATGTGATAATGTGCTCACTTGTCAGACATTTCCTCAATAAACTTCAAACAAATTTGAGTCTTTCCAATACCTCCCATTCCATGCAGTAGAAAGTACTTTCTTTTCTGAACACCATCCATGGAATTAGTGAAAAAATGTTCCTTGAGTTTTTTGATTATATCCATTCGACCTGTGAACTGAGTGCTCGGGTTTGGCACAAGGGGAATTACCACATCAGATATCGCTAAGTTGTTATACATGTTTATCTGCAAGAAATTCAGACCATCAGCTTGCTCTACGAACAAAACCCTGACACTTTCACGCACGGTGCTGGCTGCGTAGATTGTGCCACTCACGACAACATCACGAGCGCCTGGGAAAATATTCATTTCACTCATACTGAGGGAAGACACTGCTGGATGCAAGGAATCTGAAGTGGGCGAAGGAAAGAAATGAGTGCCTGACGCCCGGAGACCCCCAATCCTTCCACATGTTGAGCAAAGCACTTGGCAAACACCTTTCAATCTCTGACATCATCATATGTGTTTGTTGCTGGGTCTCGGGAGTTGCTGCACCATCAAATGGCAACCTCACGGGTGATGGACATTCCTGACAAGAAACAAGCAGGAGGGTGACTTAGTCTACGGTTCAAGAGAAAAACATCTCACATGACTTCCCCTTTGAAGAAACTCAAGAACCCTTCGTTTTCCGAACGTACCTTCAATTCCTGTCCCTGAGGTTCTATCGACTTCATTTCCCCTCTGCTGCGGTGCTGACACGCTTTCGAGTCAATAATGCCTGTACACCTCCCCGGTTCATCCCCGCGACGTGCCCATGCGCCCTCTACGTCGACCATCATTGTGGTCCTTGACCCACTTCTGCTCACGACGGGAACTACCCACGAAGAAATACCGCGAGGAGCTGCCCAAGATATTGATGAACGGTGGTGGCATGGGGCAAATGGAAGAGACGATGATGTGGTACGCGGCGTCGCATGAAATGGCCAAGGAGGAGGGTCGAAAGTGGACCCGCACCACCACCCCCAGGAGCTGTGGGATTCCAAATCAACGCAAGCAATCTGTTCGTACGCAGACAGCTGTCCCTGTTCCCACCTTAGAAGTCCATCTGGAAATCTTCATGGACATCGTTGATCGGCAGTTAGTTGGCTTGTCAAGCAAGTTGCGCGATGCAACGGACGAACATGACTGAATGCAGATATTCTGCGAAGACATTATCGAGCCTCCGTATGTTTCGTGTCCTCTCGAAAACCATACCAAACTGATTCTTGGCCTCAAATCAGGTGCAAGGCGGTACTACCAGACCAACGTGCCACTTACCCAGCCCCAGCCACCGAACAATCCGTCTACCCTGAAACCGCTGACCATCCTGTCTCCTATCCAGCATCCCCGTCACTTTCCACGGCCTCAGGCTGCAGTAACGCAACGAAGCCACATGCAGCTACACTTTCTCACCGTCGTTGCTCGAACAGGAATGAAGAGAGAAGGAATGCGCGGGGAGTGTGGGAGTTAGAAACGCGTGTTGAAACGCGAGGTTAGCACTTCGCAGGTGTTCAAGCCTAAACCGAAAATGCAGTGTACAGAGAGGAAGGGGTTGGCGGTTGGGCAAGGGAAGGACAGGGCGGGTAGGAAGACGAGCTTGATGGGTGTGACTTTGGTGGAGGAACCGCCGGTTAAACCGCGGGCAAAGTTTTCCTCGCAGTCTCAAGTGCAATCCTAGCTGAAATCACAACCGGCAGTCAACGACAAGCAACCGGACGGTCTGCTTCGTCGTCATTTAGGGCTGGGGGCTTGTTTCTCATCTCGAGGCTAGAGACTACAGTCTCCTCCTAAGATGGACTGCAGTTACAAAGACCATGCTGTTTGATAACACCCTGTCGAACACCTGCTAAATTTCAGCTGCGGGAAAGTTTATCTCCACCCGCATCAAGGTCCCAAAAAGCCCCAAACCCAGACCCCGGACACTCTTAACACACACTTGAACAGCGCTTATTCTGCGGATACTGAGGACGACACTAACTTTACGATACCCGTTGACGAAGAATCAGGCTGAAGAGGGAATAACGCGTACTGCATATTTTCATGAGCTCCAGCGTACGCAACTGCACCTGGTCCAGTCAATTGACAAGTTGGGCTTAGTCCTTACGGTAGGTATTATATCTTTTCTTTTCGGCGTCGTCTGACGATTTTTCTAGGATTCTTCTTGTGCCATCATTATTGCCTCAGCTTCTTTTTGGACAGTCCTCTTTTTTTTCCGACTGGCGGCGTTGAATACTTACCATTTTGTTCTGTTTACACATTGCTTTCAAAAAAGGTTTCCTTCTGTAAACTTGCCCCCTTTTTTGTATCTCTCTGTATTATAATGCAATCCTTCTACTTGTCTATCTATCACAGGGAAACATGGAAAAACACATTCTCATTTCGACTACTAGTCCTCGTGTATTCGCGGCCATCGCGCCCCTAAGCGTCTTCCTGTACCATGTTTGATAGCAGGCCGCAAAGGGAAAGAAGATAAAAAGACATCGACCTCCGATGAAGGTGCTCTATTTCGACCGCCAGATGATCAATGAAATGTCGAGAAACTGAGGAAAAGACAACATACTATCGCTTGTTGACAATAAGCCAAGTTCCATAGCTTTGTAGGCATCATATTGGCGCTTGACGTACCTGTACCTAATAGGAAGCAAATTTACTCAATGAGTATGGGCACCAGAAAAAAAGGAAAAAAAGACACGATACATGCCATGTTCCGAAAGTCTGACAATCCTACACGAGTGCAGAATGTACTTGGCACTCAACGAAAGAGACCCACTTGCCAGATGCGAGAAGAGGGCCAGCATAGTTTCTAATTCGGCTTTCAAGGCTTTGAAGATTGCCTTGCTACGCCCGCTGACTGTCTTTGGCGCAGTGGCGCGAACTATGAGGATCTTCTCTCGTGCTGGAGGGAAGAGTATCTTCATAATTTTGGTGATTGGCGAGTCTTGTGCAACGTGCGAGTGATTTTTATGTCAAACAAGCCAAGAGCCCAGAAAGCGATGTGATTGGCTCGTTTTGGCACAATTCACAGCAGAACAACAGCACCGCATGAGTCCAAAATATCGATTTGACCTTCCTACGACGAAGTAGGCAAAAGCTATTGTTTTTGGAGAGAATCGCCCGAGTCTTCCAAGGCCTCATCGTCCATATTGGACCTCCCAAAACCGCACAGGTCCCTAGCCCAATATGAAGACGAAGTCGACTGACCAGTCACCAGTCGTTGATCCCTGTCGGTTGTGAATCCACCTGGCATTGCACTTGAGACCGCGAAGAAGGCCTCGCACGCGGCTTAACAGGCATTTCTTCCACCAAAGTCGCACACGTCCCTCAAGCTCGTCTTCCCACTGGCCTTTTCCTTCCCTTGCCCAACCGCTAACTCCTTCTTGCTCTCCGTCCGTTGCATCTTGGGCATGGGTTTGAACAACGCGCGACATGCTAACCTTGCCGTTTGACACACGTTTCTTATTGACCCCACGCCCCCTACGCGTTCTTTCTGTCTTCATTCTTGCTCGAGAGAGATGGACAGGGAGCGAGAGCGAGAAAGTGTAGCCGCGTGAGGTTTCGTTGTGTTACTGCTAGTGTTTGAAAGTCCGGTTCGGTCCGGTTTTTTGATGCCCAGGGGCGTTAACCGTAACCGTAACCGGTCTGCCTTTTCCCCAGAAGTCAAAAGACCAGACCGGACCGCAAAAAGACCGCAGACCGTGGTTTTTTGCGGTCTATAGACCGGTTTCGGTCTGCATCGGTTTTAATCGGTTTATGACCGGTCTTTAGGCCAATATTTTAAAATTATGAATCGGTAAATTTATTAACATCTCTAATAGCTTCAAAACGAGCCCAAGAACGTTAAATTCCGTTAGGAATTGGTGCTTCTATAAAATAAGTCTGGTACATCTATTATTCCCAAAAGTAATTTACATTTTAATTCATATCTCTCTCGTTTTTTTACCAAATCGTACGTTCTTGGGTGCGTTTTAAAGGGTATTTAAGGGGCTACAAAAGACCGGTCCAAACCGGTCAAGACCGGTTCACGTTAACCGGTTTTTTTGCGGTCTTTACATTTCAAAAATAAAAGACTGTAACCGCAGGTCCGGTCTTTTGCGGTCTTGGTCCGGTCTGGTTACGGTCTTTTTCCAGTCACGAGACCGGACTTCCAAACACTAGTTACTGCGGCCTGAGGTCATGGAAAGTGCTGGGGAATGCTGTCTGGAAGTAGATGGGGCGCGGGATAGTATTTGAGGAGGGTCAGCCATTTGAGCAGAGGTGGATCGTTTAGTGGCTGGGGACGATGCGCGGTCTGACAAGGGCTGCGCGAAGACTTTGGACTGGGGGGTGGCACATTATCGCCTTATTTTGAGGCCTAGAATCAGTTGAGATTGATTTGAGAGGGGACAGACACGAAATGTACTGGGGCTCAATAACGCCTTGCAGATGTATCTGCGTCTAATCGCGGTCGTCCTGTATATCACAGAATTTGCCTGACAAGTCAATGCGGGCAACTAACTGCCATAAAGACTTCCAGACTATCCTTCAAGGTGAGAAAGGGGACAGCCGGCTGCAGACGAACAGACCTTGCGTTTCTTTGGCAATTCCAAAGGTGCTGGAGGTGGTGAAGTGTCCGGGTAGTGATAGCTTCAACAGATAATGAGTAATGTGTATCTGTAATAACCTCAGTCACGAAGAAAACGGGTGAAAAACGACTCACTCTCACCTCTCCATCCGATCCAACCAATTCTTCCGCCACTTATCATCTGCCCAACCCCGGGCCACCACCATTCATTGACCTCAAGATCCTGGGCAGCTCCTCGCAGTATCTCTTCGTCGTGGATCCCGTGGTGAGCAGAAGTGGATCTAACACAGCGTATAAAGGGTGGACGGTCGACGTAGAGGGTGCATTGACACGTTATAGGGATGGACCACGGACTGTAAGCGAGTCATGACCGCAGCACATGTAAAACACCGTTGAGAGAACCTAGGAGTTGAAGGTACATTCGGAAAAAGAGACTGTTCTGGTGTTTGTTCATTTCGGTCAGAGACAAGATGCTTTTCTCTTGAACTGTAGACCAGGTCATCTTCCTGCTTGGTTCTAGTGACTGAGGGAGGTCTGTGAGGGTTGCCATTTGAGGGTGCCGGCGATGGAGCAAGTCAAAAAAGAACGGCCCGCCGCAGCAACTTCATCACATCCTCGACATTCTGCGTAAGTCCTACCACCGACGTGGAGCATATATCCCTCGTAAACCTCCTCTATGGGCTCAGTTTATGTGGCAAGGACCTTTTCCCAGGTATGTTATTATCCCCTGAATCCCTCTGTCTTCCATCCTGCCTCGTTGATCCCTCTTCATTCACGCAGCGTTCAACACTTTCCCCTCCATTCCTCTCATTAACCAAGCTTTCATTCAGAGGCACACGCGTACACGATTTTGACCTCATCCATATCCACCACCTCACCAAGCTTTCCATTCTCTTTTTGAATAACACAGGAATAGGAAACGAGGCGTAAGTCTTGTCTTCCTTTCCCCCTCCCTCCCCTCCTTCCTTCTACACTTACTAACCCTTCCTTCTCTCACACACAGTGGCGTAAGTCTTGTCCTTCTTTCCATCCCTCCTCCTGCCTTCTCTCCTCTTCCCCTCCCCTCCTTTCTTCTACACTCGCTCACCCTTCTCCCACACGCAGTGTATACCTCCTCGCCCTACTCAAATGCACCCTAACCCAACTAACACCCTGCCTCCAACCCTGACATCGACAGTACATCCGTCCCAGCCATTCTCCTCCTCTCCAAACTGTGTTACCTCTCCATCGCGGATACGAACATCGACATGAACAATTTGAAGACATTGGCAAATAGGGTGAATGAGGAGAGGTGGGTTGTGGATATTGAGGTTCCGTGGGTGTGTGACGTTTATATTGCTAGTACGAGTTTTCCCTTCTTCTTCTCTTTGGGAACGTTCTGACACTGATTGGATTCTTTGAAAGATATACCGAAAGCGTACCCCCTGCACCTGTGCTCCCCATTGATAACCGATCCAGACGCATGCAGGACCCTATCGTGCACTGCACTTCGACGCAATTTATCTGCGCATGCGGACAGTAGCCGGGGTATTGTGGTGGGTGGGACAAAGGACCAGATGGTGTTGAGGCTGGAGGGATTGCTGAGGACGAGGAAGCTGGATTTGTTGGTTTAGGGATGTGTTAACGTACGAGGATCTCAGTCAGACACGGATGTGGTGATGACTCTATTGTCTTAGCTACCTGTTAACGTACGAGGATCTAAGTACAAGTAGCATTAGCGTTAAGTATCTAAATGTAAGTAAGAAAAGACTCACCTCAGTCAGACACGGATGTGGTGATGACTGAGGTGGAGGGAAAATAAAGTCCTCGTACTTATAGGACGGTCGGGAATAACGGACATAAGTGGGTGTAAGTGTAAGCAGTGGAATATAAGTGTAAGCGGTGGAAGTTTTACTGAATTGATCGAGGAGGTGCAAACAAGACGTACGCGTAAATAAATGAGGTCATGAGGGGTCTTCTTCAACACTCCCCTAGACGACGAGGGACCTCTACAAGTCCAGCTTGAGTGCCCGAATGAACTTTTGGTGCGTGACACGAGGAAGGGATTTAGTGAAGATGTCGGCGAGGTTTTCTTACGACGGAATTTGGACTAGACCAATCTCCCCCTCTGCTACGCGTTCCCTAATATAGTGGTGTCGGATGTCGATGTGTTTTGCGCATGCATGTCCCTTCGTATTAAGAGTGAGGGCAATCGAAGCGGCGTTGTCCCCATGGAGGATTGCTGGGAATTCGCGCTTTAGGCTCACTTCAGACATAAATGAATACATCCAAAGTGCCTGTTGGGCGGCGCGCGTGAGTGCCATGTATTCTGCCTCGGTGGTCGATAAAGCGATGGTTGCTTGGTGTTTTGAACTCCAGGATACAGGTCCGCCGGCTATGGTGAATAAATATCCTGAGGTAGATCGTCGCGTGTCGGTGTCCCCGGCGTAATCGGCATCGACGAAACCAATTGGGTCGAGACTACCTCCTCTGTGGTACGTGATTTTGTATTCAAGGGTGCCCTTAAGGTAAGCGAGTAGGTGCAACATTGCTTTCCAATGTGCTGGGCCGGGGTTTGCCTGAAAGCGTGATAGGACACTGAGAGCGAAAGAGATGTCGGGGCGGGTGGCGACCTGAGCCCACATGCAAGAACCGAGGGCTTCGCGATAGGGTTTGTCCTTCATGTATTGATGATCGTCCTCGGATTTTGGTGAGTCGGATTCAGAGAGGGCGATACCAGAAGGGAGTGGGGTGGATTTTGCATTGCATTCTAGCATGCCGAAACGCTCTAAGACGCGTCGGAGGTAAGCCTCTTGAGAGAGGGAAATTGCACCCGTATGTTCATCCTTGTCAATACGAATCCCCAGGATATATCCAAGCTCCCCCACATCCTTCATCTCAAAACACGCTTCAATCTCCTCCTTCGCCTTCTTTGCCCCTTCCTTTGTCGAGGATGCACCAAATATGTCGTCGGTATATGTGCTTGTGACGGCGAATTCATTGTTGATAATGCAGGAATGGACACATGGGTCGGCCAGTGACTTGTAATATCCCATTGACTCATACGCACTCGACATCTCAACCTGGAAGTCATATCCCCCTTGCATCATACCATATAGGGTTTTGACGACCCATAGAACCTTGTTTTCCTCCCCCCGGGCGACAAAACCAGGTGGCTGGCGCATGTATGTTGTAAATTTGTTGTGGCTGTATAAGTACGCGGCGACGATATCGACCTGCCAGATGCGTAAGTCTGGTCATAGTCAAGTCCAGGGATTTGAGTGTACCCTTTTGCCACTAGGCGTGCCTTTCGTCTAATGATATCTCCATCAGCGTCGTACTTGTTTGCATAAACCCACATTGAATCAATGACATGTGCGTTTGGGGGTGCCTCTATGAGTTGACTGGTGGGTACCACTTTTATCATATAAATAAGGTAACTGCCTAGAGCTCCCTGTGTATAAGTCCACAGTCTTTATGATAGGAATCATTCCAGTTACCATGTCTATTCATTAGGCGATTTTCATTAGTGATCTGGGCGATATCATGGTGATTTTCATTATTTATCTGGCCGATATCATTGCAATTTTCATTAGAAACCTGGGCGATATCATTGGAAATTTCATTAGCTACTTGGTCAATATCATTGTGATTTTCATTAGTTATCTGGCCAATATCATTGTGATTTTCATTAGATACCTGGGTGATATCATTGGAAATTTCATTAGCTACTTGGCCAATATCATTGCGATTTTCATTATTCATCTGGCCGATATCATTGCAATTTTCATTAGAAACCTGGGCAATATCATTGCAATTTTCATTAGCTACTTGTGGGGGTTATCATTGGAAATTTCATTAGCTACTTGGTCAATATCATTGTGATTTTCATTAGTTATCTGGCCGATATCATTGTGATTTTCATTAGATATCTGGGCGATATCATTGGAAATTTCATTAGCTACTTGGCCAATATCATAGCGATTTTCATTAGTTATCTGGCCGATATCATTGTGATTTTCATTAGATATCTGGGCGATATCATTGGAAATTTCATTAGCTACTTGGCCAATATCATAGCGATTTTCATTAGAAACCTGGGCAATATCATTGGAAATTTCATTAGCTACTTGCAATATCATTGCGATTTTCATTAGTTATCTGGCCAATATCATAGCGATTTTCATTGGATACCTGGGCGATATCATTGGAAATTTCATTAGTACTTGGCCAATATCATTGTGATTTTCATTATTCATCTGGCCAATATCATTGCAATTTTCATTAGAAACCTGGGCGATATCATTGGAAATTTCATTAGATACCTGGGCAATATCATTGGAAATTTCATTAGCTACTTGGCCAATATCATTGCGATTTTCATTATTCATCTGGCCGATATCATTGCAATTTTCATTAGAAACCTGGGCGATATCATTGGAAATTTCATTAGCTACTTGTGGGCGATATCATTGGAAATTTCATTAGCTACTTGGTCAATATCATTGCGATTTTCATTAGTTATCTGGCCAATATCATTGGAAATTTCATTAGCTACTTGCCCAATATCATTGTGATTTTCATTAGAAACCTGGGCGATATCATTGGAAATTTCATTAGCTACTTGGCCAATATCATTGCGATTTTCATTAGAAACCTGGGCGATACCATTGGAAATTTCATTAGCTACTTGGCCAATATCATTGCGATTTGAACATCAGGCACTGCCTTCAGGGTCCACTTCAGGGTACATCCCAAAAGGGAAATATCACCTGGTTTGACTAAAAAGTGAAGAAAACCAAGAGGAGAATGACTTTACCTATCAGGGTCCATGTAAGGGGATGTTGGGATGATGGTCACATGACCAATTACCAAAAATGGTCAAAAAACGAAAATTGTAGCCCTACACTGTAGCTTCCCGAATCTGTTTGAATTATGTTCTGAAGTGCTTTTGTTGTGGAGATATGAGGTAAAGGAATTTCAAAAGTGTCGTGTTTTTTTTTGTTTTTTGTGTTTTTCTCCATGAAAACAAAACCAAATAACATGATTTCAGTATATTTAGAAAGCTAAAAGAAAGGGCTACAATTATTGTATCGTGGGAAAAATGACCAAAAAAGGAAGGTTCATGCCCTACTATAAGAGTCAGATATAGACTACCAAGTTTAGTGATAGACTACAAAAAAGTCAGACTTAGACTACACAGTTTACTGATAGACTATAAAAGACTACAAAAGTTGAACTTAGACTACAAAGTTTACTAATACACTACAAAAGACTACCAAGTTTACTGATAGACTATAAAAGACTACAAAAGTCGACTTGGACTACAAAAGCTTGGACTTAGACTACAAAGTTAGGGTTAGGGTCAAAAGGTTATCCTGACTACAAAGTTTGTAGTGTCCGCTTTTTGAGACTACAAAAGTTTGTAGTGTCCGCTTTTTCATTAGAAAGTTTGTAGTGTGCGCTTTTTGAGAATACAAAGTTTGTAGTGTTCATTTTTTCATTAGAAAAGTTTGTAGTGTGTGCTTCCGCTTTTTGAGACTACAAAAGTTTGTAGTGTCCGCTTTTTGAGACTACAAGTTGCCATGTATTTTGTGGTGTCATTAAGCCTGTCTAGGTTATGGGCATGAGGTTGAAGGATTGCCATG